AACTTAACTTAACTTAACTTACTTACTTACTTCTTCTTCTCTCTCTCTCTCTCTCTCTCTCTCTCTCTCTCTCTCTCTCTCTCTCTCTCTCTCTCGCGAATCTTTTTCACTTGAAACGGGTTTTCTTGGCTATTATTGATTAGCAAATGAAAAATATGCATGGTATCGAGGAGTACGTAATTTCCGAATAATTTTTTGATAGATGGTCATATTAATTTTGTTTTTTTTTTTTGTTCTTTTTAGAACGTTTTAAGATTCGTACAATGGTGTAGTTTGTGTATTTTTTATCCATCTAGCAACTTGTAATTTCCAAAATGTATTATTCAAAAGGAGAAATAGATGATCGATATGGTTTACATTTGTATCGAATGTTGCCAAATTAGGAGAGAAACAATTTTGTGAAAGATTTTCTTTATTTCTTAAAAATAAATTATTTTGATCTTGAATAACTTTCAATCATGGGCTAATCATTAAATAAAAATTATATCATTCTGTTTAAAAAAATAAAATTGACCGTGTTCATCAATCAAAAAACTAATTGCATTAAATTATCTTGCACCCTCGACACAATGCAAATTTTTTTTCATTATCAGCCTTTTTTAAATACTTTATATATTAATTAGAAAAAAAAATGACAAAATTAGATAAATTAATTTCACGATCGATATGAATATCGATATGTATGATTTGAATATTCGATTCGCAATAAGAAGATAATCTTATCGATCTCGTAACGTCTCAACACGGTTGTTAGCTTATTTACACCGTGAATGATTAAAGCGAGTAGTTCACAATACAGCCTCTGGCTCTGGTACGCTAAAACAATACGTTATTGTAAGTACAACAGCCTTCGTTACATCTCGCCCCCGAGCAATCAGCTTTCACATTTCTGTTTCACGTATTGTCCGTCGTACGCCACACATATTTATGTCGGAATTTTTTTTTTAAATGCGCTATGTACGCAACAAGCGTTACTTTCTCTCTCTATTACTGTCTACACGAACTTTTTTTACGGTCGAGCATGATCGTAAGGAAAGTGAAATCAAAGCAAAGCGTAAATTATAGAATTTGATCGTCTCTTTCAATTCAACAAAACTTCATATTTTTGTACAATTTTATATCTTTAATTACTTAACAATCGTGCGATTCTTCGTGCGAATCTTTCTTCAATTTGTTATTAAATCTCATTGTCAATTACATTCGTTCAAAATTAATCGAATCTTTTACTAATATTTTTTTGTATATGATCATATTTGTATCGATTGCATCTATCGATAAATTAGCAACATTGATTCCTTTATAAATAGGTAAAAATATTCGGCTAATGTATCGAGATCTTGTTGAAATCGTTTAAAACAAACATCGTTTTTCAACGATGAGATCTCGAAGAAATATTTAAAGAAAAAGACATTTAAACCAATGTCTAATGCAAATGTTGCAAACGAAGTATCTTATGTATTATATTAATTATTAAAGCTTTGAACAACGATCCATTTTTCCACCTGAAAAGAACATTTCTCGACAATTTCCCTCTTCGCAACTTGTAAAGATTCTCACGCACATCGCCGTTGAAACAGAGAAAGTAGGTAGAAAAATCGATGAAATTATACATAAATAACGAAGACATAGTCTCTTCGAGAGCGTTGATTTACCTGATTTACCGTTAACATAATTTAATATGTTCTCGTCGTATAATTTTTCCTCGAAGAATTTCTTTTCACTCGAAGAAAATAATCTAATTCGTGAGAAATCTCTTCGCAAACAATTATTAAGTAGAATATACTATCAAGTAGAAGATATAGAATTTCTCAAATATATGTTTCCCACAAATTTCTCAATAAATAGCGATATATTATGAAAAAAATAACAATTTTCTCACTAATAAAATTAATGACGAATACAAAGAAAATAAAATAAAATATAATAATATTGAATAATTATTTACAAAAAAGTACCATCTTTCGATCTTGATGATTTTTTATAATATCTTGTCAAGATTATACCGAATACCATTTAACTTGGCAATCGTTGTTCATTAAAATGTTATTAACAAAAATGTTTCTTCAAAAGTTACTTTAGATTAAACAAGTTTTAATTAGATTTTACTACGGACAATTGATGGTCTCATGGTGGTCAGATTAAGAAAACTAGTTCAAAACCTAATGCAAACCATTAAATCGACTAAATCAGTTAAACGAGTTTTTACTTAATTTCTAATTTCATTGTTTAGATTGACAAACAATGTGATAAAAAAAATCACGTGTATGGTATATTTTTGTAAATATTCATCCAATACTTCCAGAAGAAATGTAACGATGAATGATAAAAAAGGAGACAATAAAAGAGTTTTTAAAAATTTTCAAAATTTCGGTACCTTTAATAATAAGAAACCCCGTAATTGGGGGAGGCACGATGACAAAAGAGCTTTCGTCGGGTGCAAGCCGTATAGTCCACTTTATAGTCCACGACAACGAGAGGGCATTGGAACGACGAACGACACGTATAACTACGGAATTCCTGGTAGCTTGGTCGCATAACGGAATTTCTACTCTTTCCCGCAACTGGGATGTCGCGACGCGTCGTAACGACCAGGTAAACTTTTAATACGGAATTCCTCACGCGGAGGCGCCACTGCGCTGATACGCTCTTGCTCAACGCAAATGGACAGGGAATTAACTTGGCTTAAACTTGGACCAACATAATAATTAAAATGGCCGCCCCTCCCCCGATGTGTCTCTTCTTAAAACGGATTAGAAACGCTTTATACGCGAATCGAAGAATTAAAAAATAGGGGATGCAGGAGAAAGAAAGTAGCGAAACGAGGATCTAAGAGATGTACTTTATTAAAATACAAAAGAATTATTAAAATACAAAAAGAATTATTGCATTCTTATTTTCAAGCTTTTATTTTTTTTTTATTTTATTCCACGTTTAATTTTCATTCTATCTTCTGAATTGAATGGGAAGATACCACTAAATTGATTCATTTTAAACTTACTAAATGATAAGAAATGTTATATTATTAGGATTTAATTAATTAGGCATAATAAATATTAACAAAATTACAACTAATATAGATAGGATTATTGTTTGTTAAAATTAACTAAAATAATATATAATAGAATGAATATAATGATATGTAAATATTTTTCCAAAATCTATACATGTATATTATTATTGAAATATCAAGAGGTTCAATTATTCGTTCAAATTAATTTAATCTAATAGAAATTACAGAAACAAACAATTATAAAATTTGACGTATATAAATGTAATTAATAATATTTCTATTTATTTATATCGATATCCAAGCACCAAATTAAAAGTTTATGATTTATTACAAATCTTTCTCTTCGAAAGATTTTCAAATTCAGCTAAATCATTCGTATTTACAATCGATATTTCAAGCTTGGAATTTTATTATTAATAAAATCAAAAATTTAATAATAACTTTGACTTCTTTGACATAAGTATTAAAGTAGTGATTACTTTATATCGTGATTATTGGAGACAGAAAATACACTTTCTTTAAACACTATCAAGTAAATTCTCTCTTTGTATCGTATAAAGAGTTAATGTCTTAAGTTAAGTTTTTAATGCCTTGGGATAGTCAACAGAACTGGTCGTTAACCAAATATATTCGCAGAGACCTGAATAATTTCCGCGTTTAAACTTTGCGTACTACGAAATTTAGACTTTTATGGCCATTTTGGTATATGAGCTAACCCCTACTTTTTGGCGTATTCGTTGAAATCCTATTTAGAAACTGATTCGTACGAAGACAGATATCATATTTATTATCGTGTCGCATAATATTCGTGCATACAATCATTATTTATTACCGCCGCATTATCCGAATTTAAGCCGGGAATGTTGTTTTGAGACGTTGAGCTTTGCCAAGATTCCATTTTATATTATACAAGCGAAAGAGAAACTAAATTGCATTCGTATATAATTCATAGTGTAGACATTCTATCGAGAATTGCATTTGCATTCTATAGTAGCCTCGATTAACCAAACATCGTTTTTTAAGATTTAATAACACGACTCGATATCTTTCATTATCCAATTTCTTTTTGCCTCGATGAAATTTCTCTTCAAAAAAGATTTTTTACCGTGGCTGGTAAAAACAAGTACCATTTTTCATTTAAAAAATTTAGACAATTTCTTCTAGTAATTATTTTTAAAAAAAAGGTAATTAAAAAAATTATCATTCTTCGATGATTTTTTAATATGTTTACTTGATAGTTGTTATTTATTAAAAAGTTATTAACAAAAATATCTCTTCGAAACGATTTAGATTAGATTATATCAGATTAAGTTCTATTTTAGAATTAACATAAATTGATGATTTCTAATTTATAGTAGGTTTGATATCGATTTAAGTAAGATTAATAACTTTTTAATGATTTTAATAAACAACGACTACCAAATAAATCTTTTTTTTTTACAATATTTCAATATTCAATATGCGATGATGTTGACAACATATTAAAAAATCATTGAGATCGGATGATATTTTTTTTGTAAATATTTGTTGACCATTAAATAATAAATCTCTGTGTATTATTTAAACACAGAAAAAAATAAAAACAATGTTTTCATTGATTTTTCATAAAAAAAATTTATAACACTTTATTTTATCGTTACAAAATATGTTTTTAATCATTTCTCTATACCATTTCCTATTGTATCATAAAAATTTGTTTAATAGATAAAAAATTATTTATAAAATTTATAAAATTCGCGTTATAGAATCAATGAAGACCGCAAATATATGCACAATTATACAAATCCAATAGTACATGCTATTCATAATTTGCTTTGCGTAATTGACAATTGAGATTTTGATACATTTATGCCTCTTTAACTCGAATTTAACCAGATGTGTAAATGTATGAACGCAGAAATTCTCAGAGGTAAATATGCAATCCATCTAGCTTTCCAAACTTGTCTAAATATCCTCAGAAATTAACGGATTTCGCGTTACGAGTAGTCAAAACACGCGTACATTTTATCAAAACATTTAAAGATGAAATGAGCAAAATGAAGGGGCTGTAAATTAAGAATGCTTTTTAAATTAAAAAATTCTTTAACGATCGTTTAACGATCATTAAAAACTTTAATCCCTTTTAATTTTAATACGAATCAAATACATGTATCAAACATTTAATCATCTATTTAATGACTATCTACTTTGTTATTATTCGAAAGATAATTTCCACATAATTCAACGTTCTCTCTCTTCTTTTACGATTTACGAGAATGCTTCCAAAATATATCTCGAGGCAAAAGTCGAGGCGGACGATTAATAATAATAAGAGAAGCGCGGAAATACCGAGGAGGAACGAACTGAACAGACCTGAACGACAAGGTTATTGTTAAAATGCAAGAGGGTTGTAAGGTGTTATCAATAGTAGCCGGGCAATTCTCGGCGGAATTACTGCATCCACTGTATATACCGTACTCCATTTCCGAGTACAAGGCCTCTGGGAGGTAACCAGCAGGTTGACCCGAAGCTCACGGAACCGGATGGCTAGCCGCGAGCCAGTGCCCGCATCCGGCCAACCAGACTCCTCTCGATAAGGTTCGAGTTTCTGAACTTACACGCTCCGCTTTTCTATTACTAGCTGCCAAATGAATTTCAACCGACCGTGACCAGCACGGTACACCTGTAATTACACCACCCATCACGTACACAAACACTCGAATCGATGGCTTGCAGTGCTTGTGCTTCATCCGATTTCGATATATGGGAAATATTTTGTTACGCTTTAATTTTGTTTTTTTTTTTTATTCTTATTTTTTTCTTTTATTATCTTTTTTTTTTTTCACCGTTTCCGATTCAGTTAAAAATCCGATCGCTCCGACTCTTTTTTTCTTCTTTTTCAAACCTTCTACCATTAGATAAATATTGTTGGACAAAGTGTGTAATCACAATTGTGACTTGATTGAATTATGTGAAATTGATTAGTGATTAATAAGTAAATTTTTATTAAAAATGAATATGAAATGATTATGATTAGTTGTAATGATATGATCGATAATTAAAAGTAATTGTAATTAGTGATTAAATGTGTAATCAGAATTTAAATTAACGATTAAACACGATTATAAGTGAGATAAAATGAAATTAATGATAGTTAAAAAAATCCTAATATATTAATATTGGAAATTTTAATGACGTGTTGAGTCTGATAAAGTATCTTATTTTTCCATTATTCAGGATGTGATGGGATAAGTATAGTTCGCTCTCATTTACATATACAAAATATTCGTTCGTTATATAAATTCAGAATAGTAATTGATAATTCATTATTTAAGATTATGATTAATACTCTGATTTTAAGATATGAAAATCATAATTATTTCTGATAATTAATATAATGTTTTGATAAAATTAAATTAACGAACGATATTATGTTTAATATATTCAGTAATAAAATTGAAAAGCAGAAACATTTTTTATGATAAATCAGATGTTCAGTTAACATCCAATCGAATGCAAAATGGAGAAAGAAAGTGATCAGCAATTGTGCAAATTAATGAATACAATACGAGCATCGAACGATGATAATTAACAAAGTGTCGATTTAAAATGAAATTTTATATGAAACATTTGAACGAGAGCAATAATGATCACAAATCATTATTTTCACTCCGAATTCCTTCCAGTGGAATTTTGACAGAGAGATATAATCAATTTTAATCACAATTGAATATTATCTATTTATAAAATTCATTTAGATATCGTAGCATTATTACGTTGATTTATTAACTATATTAATTATATCGCTATTTTTCAATATATCAATTTTAAATCATGTATCGGTAAAAATTTCAATCATTTTTTTAATAAATAATTCATTAAAAATCATTCGATACTTTTTCTTTTTTATATTCCATAAAATCAAAATCAATTTTTGACAATATATAATATATATAGAATTCTTATATTTAATGATAAGAGAAGAAATATATATAAACAAATTTAAATTTTATTATTACATATCATTTTAGTCTGCAATAAATTTCCAAATAGCAAATTTTCATCATCGTTACATTGTTGTAAAACTGAATCTATATTATATAATTAAACACTTTACATAGGCAGATTAAACAACTTTTTAAAGGAATAAAAAGCAAAATTTTCTGCAAATATAATATTTTATTACGTAGCAGTTCACATAGAGGAAAATGTAACATATTACAATATATAAAGAACGTGTAGAACAATTTTCTTTAATACAATTATCTTGTATACATGAGTTTTATAAAATTTAAATTAAAATAACTCTTAAATTAATAATTTGTCATTATTTATAAGTGAATTAGTAATTTTTTATTAGGAATAATAGTCTTATTAGTATATTTAAAATTTACAATTACTATAATTCATGCATCTCAATATACAGTTACAGATTATTAGCCTGTTAAGATTCATTTAACTGAAAGTGTTCATAAAATATACATAGGATTGTATATAAATATTATTAATAAAATATTTGAATAAGAGAATTCTACTGTGATATGCATATGCATAAATATCCATAGTTTATCGATATAAATTCATCCGGATTAACGAACGAATTAAGTAACGAGTAACTAAATTAATTACTGACAATATTACGAGCATTATCATATACATCACATCGAAAATTGTAGATCATAGATTACCCGCTCAAATTGATCGTGACACTCACTATGACATTATGACAGATATATCTGCTCGATAAAATCCATCACTCTGGCCCAAAATCAAATTCATTCGTTTGCAATAGTATGATCTAACGTACGAATATATGTACATACTCGATTAATTATTATCATTTCAATTCACCATATTATAAGTTTCAGGAAATCGATTTAGAAGAAAATTTCGACACAGAAAATTCCTCGAAATTATTTCGATAAAAACAGTCTCTGAAAAATAAAAATCACTATAAATTTTACCGCTCCAAAACTAAAACTAAAAAACTAGGAGCAAATATTCGAACGTGACTATTTCGAATTAAAAAATGAAAGTTTTACCTTTAAAATCGTTAAAATTATAATTTCGATTTTCATTCGAAATGGATATCTCGACTTGGATCAAATCCAATCGCCGTGATTGGGGGAAAAATGGCCGAGTATCGAGAACGATTCGACAAGAAAGAACGGCCGCATAATGGTATTTTCGCGCGGAATGTCGCCCCCTCGGATGCATCGCGTGCAATTATCTCCCTTCGGTTGGCGAGGTAATCAGAACCGCGGTAATTACCACGCTCAGTAGTGCCGCGAGTTGCGAGTCGGAGGTCGGGGACCGTAAAATGGGTTGGCTCGCGCGAAGACAAGCAGGGAGGCAGTGAAAGGGTGAAGACACAGAGGCAGAACGTGTTGGAAGAGGCCACGTGGAAATAGAAAGGGCGGATTCAATGTAAACAGTGGAACGAGAATTCGTGTACGATGTTCGCATTGTTCGAGTGCTTATTTTGAGATGTTCCATTCCGTGAACGATACGCACATATTTCAAGAATTTGCAACGTTTCGATTTCTCGATATTTTTGATGGGGCAAATTTAGTCATGTTTGTGTGAATATAGTTACGTGCTCGTCGATGATTGATACACTTTGCGCTATGTGTATAATGCGAGAGTTACGTAAAAGTTACGAGTATATATCGTTGAAAAGTTTTCATTTTCATTCGTACTTTTCGACGATTGTTGGAGAGATATTCAGTAAATGATATAAGATATAACGTAATCTTGAATCTAATTAATTAGACGTGTAAATACTATGACAAGTAGATTCGTATACAGATATCTATTGTAGTCACTGTACAAATATTTTAACTGTTACTTTATCATTTATAATTTATAAGTAAATCGTTTAAAATTATTACTGCTTATTACTTTTTAAGTAAAATTATAATACATGTAAATCTTGGAAGTGACGAAATGCTTAAATTGATTTTAGTGAACCAAGTAATTATATTAGATACTTTCAAACTCGATGAAAATGAAGCGTACTTAAAAATCTATATTTAACTTATATTTATTCCACTTATTTCTAAGAATAGAGATCCGTTTAAATTGCATCACCCAAATATCCTGTATTTTCCACAAACCTTTACGATCTTTTAAATCCACGATCGATAAGTAGCATACGGTTATTCACTTTATACGGATAAATTAAAACTAAATAAATATTGAATATTATTCTCGACTGTATAAACATGAAATTTCGCAATGATCCCCCCGACAAATCGTATTAACTTCGATACTTTCGAAAACATTAACGTACCGTTATCGAACCGTTAATGAAAAAAAAAGGGAACGTGTGTAAATCTTTCGTTTCAATCGTTTCTGGCAAACACCCTTTCGAAATTTCGAAAGTGTACAGAAAGCGATAAACGTCAAAAAAGGGCGTGTTATTGGGCCCTGTTGAAAGGATAATCCTTTAGCGATCGCGGCTGCATTTGGCACAACTTGTGCAAACATATTTACCCGTGACTCGTAATTTGCATTTTAATTACTCATTGCCAGCTCAAATATTGCGGGGTTCGTTATGTGGCGGAGTGTAGGTTTCACTCGGACCGCGTCATATCCGCTAGCGGCCAACCCACGGAAACAACAATTTTACCCCATAGAATCCGTTCGATTTCGACGTTTCGATATTTCGATACGCGAACGTGCGGATGGCCAGATTTTTTTTTCCCTCTTTCATAAAACGTGGAAGAAGATTTTTCCTTGCGCATAGAAGAAAAAGATTTTAAATAAAATGATAAAATATTCCATCCTAGCTTCTTCCATATCTACCTTCCCTTTTCTATTTTTCTTTCTTCGGTACAAGTGTTGCCGCCATCAGTGTGCACAGCTGTTTTTGATTTCATGCATTCTTCGTTTTTCAACTATTTTCCGTACTTATTAAAAAATCGATATTCGCCACACTTTGCAATCCATTTTTTGCGCATTTATTGAATGCGTTAAAGTGAATTGATTGAATTTTTATGTTATTAGACGTTAGGTCATTTATTTTAAAAGGGAACAACAGGTGTCGCATGGTATCTGATTGAAATTGATCCATCTAAATTAATACTACGAAGAATCTACGATTATTGATCAGTTAAAAAGTAGCCCAGTTAACAGAAACTATATCGATAATTGATACATAATAATTTTGGTTAAATTGACGAATAATCAATAATCTCCTCTAAAATTGAAATATCAAATATCCGAACCATTGATTAAATTCTTTTTTATATAATAATGATTTAAAAAAGAATTATATATATTTCCGAAGAACAATAAATTTATAAGTTTTTTCATACAAAATCATTTCAAAGTATAATGATATTGGTTTTATAATTACTAAAACCAATATCATTATAATTTTTTTATAAAATAATCTTTAAATAATCTTTAATAAAATTTGCAGCATTAAGAACATTCAGTTACATTGTTGTTATTATTATTATTCTACGAATAAAAATTAATCAAATTCTCATAATATATACGTATATTTACAATATTATCTATATGTGTGTACCATTATCCCATAGTCAGCATCATCCTATTTTTGTTACACAAACGTTATTATGGAATCTCAGAGATCTCCCCCAAAAATTCAATTTTATCAAGCTTATTCCTAATTTATTTTTAATGTAAATTAACATTGAGAATGTTACGTATTTAAGAAAATACTTTTTTATACTTTATTCAAAAAAGATAATCTTAATGATATTATTATTATTATTTGTAT